TCTGGTCTCTGACCAGTAGAGCTAAAAATTGAAAATGATTTTTGTAAATGTTATTAGGACTATAATTGTCTAATGTAACGTTGAGAATCAAATCTTGGTAAGTTACACCTACGGCCGTTTGTTTTCCTGAATCATTTAAAATATTATATGCCTTTTTAAAATAGATAAAAGTTCATTCATGCAGATAAAGAGAGGAGAACGGAAGACCTTCTTTGTTGCTTTAGCAACAAGAGATTCTAGTTTCTATATATATTTCTATGTAAAACTTGGATTCCCTATTGTGGCCCCGCCCTACCCCTGGGGGTCATGGTTTTAACAATTTAATATCTACACTACCCAAGGATGCTCCCACATAAGTTTCAGCTTTTCTGGCCCAGTGGTTCTTGAGAAGAAGATTTTTAAAGATTTGTTCTATATATTTCTATGTAAAACTTGGATTCCCTATTGTGGCCCAGCCCTACCCCCGGGGTTCATGATATTAACATTTAATATCTACACTACCCAAGGATGCTTCCACATAAGTTTCAGGTATCCTGGCCCAGTGGTTCTTGAGAAGAAGATTTTTAAAGATTTGTTCTATATATTTCTATGTAAAATTTGGATTTCTTATTGTGGCCCCGCCCTACCCCCGGGGGTCATGATTTTAACAATTATATATCTAAACTACTCAAGGATGCTTCCACATAAGTTTCAGCTTTCCTGGCCCAGTGGTTCTTGAGAAGATTTTTAAAGATTTGTTCAATACTTAGAATTCCCTATTGTGGCCCCGCTCTACCCCCAGGGGTCATGATTTTAAAAATTTATTATCTACACTACCCAAGGATGCTTCCACATAAGTTTCAGCTTTCCTGGCCCAGTGGTTCTTGAGAAGAAGATTTTTAAAGATTTGTTCTATATATTTCTATGTAAAACTATGATTCCCTATTGTGGCCCCGCCCTACCCCCGGGGGTCATGATTTTAACAATTTAATATCTACACTATCCAAGGATGCTCCCACATAAGTTTCAGCTCTCCTGGCCCAGTGGTTCTTGAGAAGAAGATTTTTAAAGATTTGTTCTATATATTTCTATGAAAAACTTGGATTCCCTATTGTGGCCCCGCCCTACCCCCGGGGGTCTACTATTTTTACAATTTAATATCTACACTACCCAAGGATGCTCCCACAGAAGTTTCAGCTCTCCTGGCCCAGTGGTTCTTGAGAAGAAGATTTTAAAAAATTTGTTCTATATACTTCTATGTAAAACTTGGATTCCCTATTGTGGCCCCGCCCTACCCCCGGGGGTCATGATTTTAAAACTTTAGCATCTACACTCCCCCAGGATGCTTCCACATAAGTTTCAGCTTTCCTGGCCCAGTGGTTCTTGAGAAGAAGATTTTTAAAGATTTGTTCTATATACTTCTATGTAAAACTTGGATTCCCTATTGTGGCCCCGCCCTTCCCCCGGGGGTCATGATTTTAACAATTTAATATCTTCACTACCCAAGGATGCTTTCACATAAGTTTCAGCTTTCCTGGCCCAGTGGTTCTTGAGAAGAAGATTTTTTAATGACCCCACCCTATTTTCGCATTTTCTTGATTATCTCGCCTTGGAAGGGGTCTTGGCCCTTGATTTTAACAATTTTTATTCCCCTTCCCCCAAGGATGCTTTGTACCAAGTTTGGTTAAAATTGGCCCAGTGGTTCTTGAGAAGAAGTTGAAAATGTGAAAAGTTTACAGACGGACGGACAGCTAGACGGACGGACGGATGGACGACGGACACCGGGTGATCAGAAAAGCTCACTTGAGCTTTTAGCTCAGATGAGCTAAAAATGGTGAGATTTTCCAAGGCATGCTAAAAGAATTAAATTGCTATTAAGTTAGCACTATCATTGATCCCATTACCAAGGTGAAAGATAAAGTCAGAGGGCTATTATGGCAATAAATTTACCTTCAATTTGACAGATCACATCAGAAACAATCTAAACTCTTGGCTCCTGCTACAGCAGCTAGGCTTGAACAAGGGCACAGCAAGGCAGAGCATCCCCCGGAAAAAAGCATGATCTATATCAAAGCAGAATTCAACATTGAATCCTATCCTGATGCAAATTTTATGTCACTTTGTTTTCCACAGAATCAACTCACCTTAATACATGTACCCACTCACCCAAACGAATACACACAATATTCTCTAACTCTGTTGCAAGGGAATATTAATACCACAGACCCATTCTACAAGTCACTAATTCATCAGCTAAAACTCATTCTTTAATTCATCTTATAGGCATACTGAAGTGTCAGAAATATCAACACTTTCCCCTATAGAGTAATATCAGCAACTTTTTTTAAATTGTGGGGATCTCATACACTCATTGTTTTAGAAAAATGCAGACCTGCCAACCAAAATTGATGCTGTGGGGGGTGATGACCCAACATTCAGAATTGAAATGTTGGGTCATAGCACGCGGCGACATTTTTTGAGGTTTGAGTAACAAAATGCTCCCTAATTTTTAGGCATCAATGCAAACAATCAAACAAATGCATGTATATGTTATATTTTATTGCAGACTTAATTTTTACTTAGGACAGGTTACTTAAAATTGCTTGTATAAGAACACTTTTAGATTGATAGTAATTAAGATTAATATTCAGATAATTTTAGTTCAATAGAATTTTTGCAAAGTTTTAAAAATTTAAAAAGTTTCTGGGAAACTTTTGTTATATTCTACAATGATTAATTTTCAACATATTACACAATCAGAAAACTGTAATTAGACATTACATTGAAAGATTAATATTGAAAAATTGCTGCTTCAGGGGATGGTGGTAAGAAATATGTACCATCTAATTTCCTATTATTAATTTTAAAACACACACAAAAAAATTAAATGAATCAAATACTACAAAATAAATTATGAAGGATACCTAACACCCCAAACAAAAACTTAAAATCGTTAGAGTCATGATGTGACTGACAAGTGGGTATTCCCTTGTCATAGCCATTTAACAAAGAAACACAACGTACAATACTACATTTTGGGAGGGGGGGATTCAATATACTTCACTTTAGACTCTTTTGCTTTATCTTAATTAATATCATTTTCTTTTAACCACTACACTTAACAATAATTTCAATAATTACCAGAGCTGATAAAATCAGCTGTTATCAGCTATGCCTTGTAGTTTCGTTTTTTTACTTTCGTTTTTAAAAAACGATCCCAATGTTTATCATATCATTGTATTTAATTAATTAATTTCTGATTTTAATAAAATGATATTTAATTAACCTCTAAATCTATGTGGTTCACCATGCATATACCCCTTCAAATGGTTACGTATAATCCCCTAAATGCTCCAGGCATATTACCTGTACAGCTGTGTCAGTCTGCGATCAAGCGTGAAGTGATTTCCTGTGGCTAATTAACAGTTTTTTTAACACCTCGACAAACAAAGATACTAATCTGTGTGCATTGAATAAACAAGATGTTCATATCCTGATTTATAAAACGCAAATCGGAAATTTTTTAGGATGAATTTTCAGATCTTTCTTGTTGAGACAAACATGCTTAATTAATATTAGGTCAAAAAATTGGGATGATCGATTTTGCGGGTGAAAACAATGACACGCCGCGGGTCATTATGAGTGGGGGGTGAGAGATTTGTCAATTTTGCGGGTGTGACCCACCGATGCGGGTCACTTGGCAGGTCTGAAAATGTGTAATTACATGTATGTCTATAACAACTTAAAATCCACTGAATATTAAATCAGAATATAAATTAGTTGAAATTAATACTTAATAAGAAAAATCATATTGCAATGTACATACATAAACAATACATTTTCATTAGAATAAAAATTATGGAAACTGAATGACAGAAAAACATGTACACAGGTAAAGACAACTAAAACAGGTCCAGTCCAAAGAATATTTCTACCTATGTAGCTGTGGCGGTCAGCAAGGTTCGATCGCCGGTGGCCAGATGGCTCAGTTGGTAGAGCACCTGACCAGAGTTTCAGGGGGCTCGGGTTCGAATCCCGGTCTGGTCCGCTGCATTTTCTCCTCTCCCGTTACATAGCTATTAATAGCTACGTAGGTATTTAAACCTACCCAAAGTAGCTATTAATTTACCTACTTTTTGTTTTATCTACATTTTGTGGCCAAATGACTGAACGGCGCAACATGGTGAATACCATATTTTTTGATACAGTCATTGTAATGAAGAATACAACAAAATTTTGACCAAAAAATGATTATTTCCCGAATTTGAAATTTTATATTAGTTTCTATGCAAAATTGATAATATATGATGTTATCATTTTTTGGGCCAAATTTTTGTCATATCCATCATCAGTGTGACTGTATCAAGAGTGCTCACCATGTTGCGCTGTTCCTGCGTTTGGCCACAAAATGTAAGTAAAGCAGAAAGTAGGTAAAAATAGCTCTACTTTGGGTAGGTTTAAATACCTGCATAGCTTTTAATAGCTACGTAGGTAGAAAATAGTCTTTGGACTGAACCTGTAAAACAAAGCAAAAACAATCCAGACATAGTTCTTAAGCAAATTATTATGCAATTTTTTTAAAAGATGAGATGTACATAAAAAAATCAAACATACATGTAACTGATCTCTGCGAGATGGAGAGACTGAAAATTTGGACTGACGTCAGTCCAAATTTTCAGTCTCTACCCATCTCGCTGAGATTAACATGTAACCTCCTTATTAATTAAAGGCAAGACGAAATATTCAGAAGAGGAATAAATAAGAAATTACAATTCAATTATTTAGTAAAATGATCTATCCGTGTTAACTTACATTATTTCTTAATAACGCTATGATCGATGATTTTACCCTCCATCTTTCTTCTTTGATTCAATGTGTATCAATAAAACAACAAAATCAGTCTGCTGTTCAGAAAGGGGTCCTTCTAGTTGCTCCTCATTTAGCAGCACGTGAATTTTTCCCGCAATTTTAGAGTAGCTGTCCTTGGGTTCTCCAAATTATCCACCAATCAAAAGGAAGCTAAACATTCCATGCGGCTCAGCAGTTGGCGTGGTTACATGTCAACAAGCGTGATTCAAACCCAGTAGAGCGGAGCGATTTGACTTGTTTATTCAGGTAAAGCTCGATCTTCTTTCATCTAAACTGATTGTACTTATTGTTCGGTAAGTTTGATAAGCTATCTTGTAGTATCAATTGTTATTTGTTGTCGAGGCCGACTGCTTGTCCTGTTTTGTTGTGTCTAACCTCTCAGCTCCCGGAATATTCATAATTTTATCATCCAATATATTGTTTGTCATCTGTGTATAAATAAGAGAAAATGGCTTCAGGTAAAAAGTGAAAATTGTGTTTTATGAATGCTAAACCTTTGTTTTTGATGGTGAAAAATTTCAAATGTCAGATAAGTCGCCTTCATATTAGATCTAATGTTTATAACTTTATTGAAAATGAAAGAATTTTTTTAAATACAAAGATTCTTAGAAGCTACTTTTATTAGTGTTATATTATTGCTATTACTAGTATTTGTTACCACACTTATTTAACTTTTGAATTAAAATTTTGCCATAAATTAGTGTATTGATTACTCCAAAGGGAGAAAAATAACATGTACATGTACATGTATGATGATATGTAAACAAAGTCTTGCTTTCCATTTGGTGTTTGCTAAAAAAATGCATTTTCTTACGTAAGAAATGCTTGATTTGAAAATACGTGCATTGCTACTTAAATTTTAATTGAGTAAGTTAAATCATCTGAAGTTCATTACTTCATCCACTATCCAAGATTAATTAGTATACTGTGCAGATGCATACACTGTATATAAATTATTTATAAGAGATTGTATGTGGCCTGGTAAATTGTTCCGGGACTTGTTATCGGCTCATTATGGTCAGAGATATAAATGGTGTTTCCATGGTAAATAATTAAGGTAAACTATATACACATGTGCACGGACTTGTAGCAAATTTTACAGACAGTGATCACAAGTCCATATGTGATACATTTTTTGTATAGTTAACATATATGAACATCTCAATTTCCTCCCTTGGACCATCATTTGATGCTCTTAAACCCAAAAAGTTTAAAAATTATCAAATTTCATAAGTATTTTATTTTTTAATTAATGAAGTGAAATATTACAGTCTGTCTGTAGTGCCATGGAAATTGTCAAAACTTAACAGCCAGGGTTACTAAATTTCTTAGGCTTGTAAGTTTAACTTTAGTGATTTTAGAAGGATTACTGTGAACTGAAAGGTACATGTGTATTTATATGTATTCATTTTATTTTTTGTCCTTATATATACATGTATATGTATGTACATGGACATGTACAGTCTGACATATAGGTAGAAGACCAGAAGGTTAATTCGGTTCTAGTGATTAATATAATTTTCTTATGAACATTTTCTTAAAGTATAGAATTTTTTTTCAAGGTGTGTCAGTCTGTAGGATAATAAAAATGTCAGCTCAGCCCACAAAGATGGTGCGTGCCAAAGAGTGGAGTGATGACGTAGAGGAGGCGTACAGATTCCAGTTGGCGGGATACAGGGACGCCCAGGACTACACTGTGTGTACAAAAGAAGAGGTAGGGAACAATTACTTAGTTTTAAAAAGAAACGAAGGGGATGTACATCAATGCTAGTCAATTAAGGGTTTTTGATCCACTACTTTTTTGTGAGGAGAGTAGCAGTTGCAAAGATGGGGGAACTGCTCTTAAAAGCCTCATATATATTTCATAATATCTCTACTGCAAGTCAAGAAACAATGCAAGGTTTAAGAAAGGGAGCAAAAATGGAATATCTGTATGTAAATGAGACGATTTCCCTATGGTAGCTAGAGGCTTAAAAAGGGGAAAGGGGGCAATAATTTATAATTAATGATAGGGCTACATTTAAACCTTAAATACCAAGTTAAGGAAGAGGCTATACATTGAATATGAATTAATGTATTTAAAAGTAGAAATGGGAAATATCTCACCAAAAAGGATGATTTGTAGTTAATTATAAGGTGGTGTTAATTTATTAAATTAAAAAGAAACAGATGTCAAGAAACAAAAAACTGTACTATGTCCTTGAATTTCAGTAGAATATATCTTTTAGAAGGTCATCTTTTATTTTTGTTATTGCCTTTTTTTCTTCTAATGTAGAAGATTTATATCACTCATAATGCATGTAACTATAGTATAAGCAGACTTTTTACCGAGGATTTAAGTTAATTTTGGTGTTCTAAGTGAGGGTGCTGAGATCACTAAAATTGAATATCGCTGAAAATTAATTGCGTTTTAATTGTAATTGCTAATTTAGTGAGCATTTTAGTCTTATTTGCTGAGTAACTTGTAAAGTAATAAATTTATAATGCTTGAAATTTTCCTCTTACAGGCTACAAGATGGCCACATAATGGATATATAAAGAAGCTAATTCGTAAAGACGGATGCTGGTATTACTTCAACAAAAACAGAGAATGTCCCGACAAAGATGTACCCAAGTGCAAATTATACTCTTATTAATTAATGACTGGTCTCTCTAGCTAGGTATTACACAATAATTATAATTTGTAAATACAAGACAAGTCTGCATGTAAAATCTGGCAATTTTTTAGCTTGAAGTTTTAGAATTATGTGTGAGAGTGTTTGGATAATTTATTTTAAAAAATCTCAGATTGCAACAAAGTTCATGACGTGGGCATCATAATTTTACATACATATTGTATCTATTTATATTGTTTTCATGTATCATTTATCTATTTCATAATTTTTTTTTCTAAAGTTGAAATTGTAAAGGACCAGTATTTTGCCTTGATTGGCAAACGGAATAAAAGTCACAATTTTGTGATTTTACAAAGCACTATTGTGAACACTTATTTATAGATTTTGTGGAAACACTTTAAGTTGTTGTAAATATTGTTTATTTATTCATCATCCATAAGACATTCTTGGTGAGAAATAAGTTGAGAGAGAAATATCATGTATGCAGTTGAGTGGTGATAAACTATAGAAAGTGCTCAAATTATTGAATACAGCTTGCAAAAAAATCAGTTGAATTAATGTATATTATAAAAATACATTGAATATTATTGTTACCATTTATAAATCATTACATCATTAATTAAATTCATGCAAAGCATGACACAACCAGAAATGTTTTATTTTTCCTTTAATCCAGAGGGCAAACATTCAGATTCTTACTGGAAAGCTATACTATATACCACAGATGCTCTCTTCTTCCATAATTAGGCCACCAAATTTTAGTAGCTTGCTCAAGTGAGTTTTTCTGATCACCCATTGTCCGTCATCCATCCGTCTGTAAACTTTTCACATTTTCAACTTTTCAAAAACCACTGGGCCAATTTTGGCCAAACTTGGTACAAAGTGTCATTGGGTGAAGGGGAGTTTAAATTGTAAAATAAAGGGCCAAGCTCCCTTCCAAGTGGAGATAACCAAGAAAATACAAAAATAGGATGAGGTAATTAAAAATCTTCTTAAGAATTACCACTGGGTCAGAAAAGCTGAAACTCATTTGGAAGCATATCCTGGGGTAGTGTAGATACTTAACTTCTCAAATCATGACCACTGGGGGTAGGGCTGGGCCACAGTAGGGAATCCAAGTTTTACATTGAAGTATATAAGAAATCACTGGGCCAGAAAAGCTGAAACTAATATGTTGAAACATCTAGGGGTAGCATAGATTCTAAATTGCTCAAATCATGACCCCTGGGGATTGGGCATGGTCTCATAGGTATTACAAGGGGGAGATCTGTTAAATTACAGAATGACCAAAAATATAGTAGGTGAGTGATGTGGCTCATGGGCCTCTTGTTATGGAATACAGCATTTTGCTGCAGTTTTATATAAAAATGTAAAGAACTGGGTACGTTATGTATAACAAGTCGGCCCTGACTCTAAACTTGATTAAAGTTTTTTACAATCATATGCCTACGATGTCCTTTCAAATTCATTTTATTTTTTAAAATTATCTCAAACCTTTTTTTCCGTCAGAGGTCTCAAAAATGGTGTGTTTTCTTTAAAAATTGCGACGTGAAGCTCAGGTTTTCTCCTCAACAACAATATTTATTGTAATGTCGAATAATTAGGGAATAACAGCATTTGACAAAAACTATACAGAAAAATAAAAGTAAAGTTCAAATCCCCCATCCCAAAGAAATAGGATTTGTTGATTTTTGACAGTTGTAAAACAATGTGAAAATCTACTTCAAAATTTAAGTAACCGTTTAAGGCAAGTCTAATCAACGTAGTAAAAGAAATCTTAGTTGAAGAGTTATATGTTGCTCTAAATAAAACAGAGGCAGAGAGACTTACATGTATTCAATGTACTAAAATTTTGGAACTCACGACCTTCTTGATAAATATATCCACAGACATCTGACATTGCATAACATATCACTGGTTAGTACAGTGTATTTTGGCTGGGTTGTTTTACAACAATTTAGACCTATGTTTGAAATAATCTGAATGATTACGGAATGTTATACGTCTTAATTAATCGATTTGTAACATAATTCTCACTAAACAGCTGGGGATGCTTACCCATTCCGAGCCACCTGATCCCACTTCTGAAATTTCAAGGGATCCTCATCCGTTTTTATGCCTTCTTTACATATCTAATTGTTATGATTTTTTTAACTGATCGATCAGTGTTCGTCATCTTCAATTTTTCATACAGAGGATTTTTTTTTATGATAAGCCAATTTAATGAAATAAAAACAAAGATTTTTTTTACTGAATATACTCAGTACTTCAAGTTTAATTGGTTTTTAAATCGTTTTAAATAACAATGCACATTGAATTGTTTTGCAAAACAAGAATTTCATTTTCGATCTGAAAACAGGTCTAATAAGTAAGCAATACATATTGTACACATGCCACCTACGCTAGCCAAGGGTTTTCGGTCCGCACCGCTCCCAATAGGGAGATGGTACACATACAGGCACAGAGTTTCGGGAATCGAGGGAGCACGAGGAGTGTGTCCCCACCTTTTGATTTTGTATTAAAATGTACATGAAGAGCTCCCCCAAATTTTTGCTAGCAAAATCCATCTCATGACATCTTTCCTTAAATAAAAGGCCCACAAACTGCCCAAAGACTTTTTTTCCTTTTTTCGTCGGGGTAGGGTCAGGTTCAACAAGATAACTTTTGAATACATATAAACTCAGTATATTTTGGCAAAATTATTGAAAAGATGCATGCAGCCTTCACTTTCCCTCTGCATGGTTTCCTAATTAGGTTATCTTTACAAATATATCTCTCTATATTCAATATCTGCCGAAAGCCAGTTAATTATACGAAAGACAAATTGCATGAGGACCTCTCACATCAACCGGGAAGTTCTTTGATGAAGGCATTGAGGAAAAGCTCAGTCAAAACAAAATGTTTGCTTGAAACACTGATCCCGTATAACTCGCTATCGTGCCATCGCGTCATCGCATTATCGCTTCATCGTACCATCGCATCATCGCCATCGCATTATCGCATCATCGTCATCGCGCTATCGCGTCATCGCTTCATCGTTATCCACCATCGCTTCATCGTCATCGCACTATCGCGTCATGTACCATCGACTCGACACTATAAATTGCCAGTTCAGGTTTCTCAGATGCAAGTCAAACTTTAACTTTTAAAGGTGAAGAGGTCAAAATTCTCGTATCCAAAGAAGGGTCAAGTCACAAGGATTACTTATAAAAGCCCTAACAGCAGTAGTACCAAAGCAAAGCTGACGTTAGTGTTCAAAGACAGGTCTTTTCACAAGAGATATACATAGTCAATTGAAACATTCAGGACTGCTATGGTTAT